TGCCTCCAGCCTCTCTCTGACTTGAGATTTCAATAGGTTCAAATAGCTATTGAAACTCTTAAGTTACAGTTCAAAATGATAATTTTTAATTTTATAGAAATGTCAGTATTTTATTCCATGGTAGAATAACGATGCTTTTGAAATCTTGAAATTTCTTGCTGAATTGGACCACCTCTAGTTAGGGGTTATTTGTTGAATTCAACGTACAGGATTTGCAGTGGGACAGTTTGGCAGAAACAGCTATACCTCGAGAGTTTACGTAAGGAATCCTAGGTACATTTGACTAGACTAGCTGTCTGTGGAATCAATAGAAAAAAGTGACTGCAATAACATGTAGCATTTATACAGGACTTTTCAAGCACAGAGCTCAAGTTCATTTTACAGAAGTGGGTAAGACATGTTAACCTCATTTTGAGGAGACAGAGAAACCAAGGCACAGAAAGATTAACTTGGGCCCATGCAAGGCATTGGTGATACAGGCTGAAAGAGTATGCTTGGGAGCATCTACATGTGAAATTAATTCAATGCAATAAACTCCAGCAGTGTGTGCCAGGGATTATTGCTCCGGGTGCAGCATTTGTACATCTGCCCAGACTGCAGCACACTGAGCTGGCGTGGAGCAGCCGCAGCTGGCAGGGGGCTCCAGGGGTCAGCCTGCCAGCCCGGGGCTGCTCTGACCCAGCTCAATGTGCTGTGGAGGGGCTGACTGAGGCAAGAGGATGCTACAGTGCAGGGTTAGCCAGAAGACAGCCCTGCACTGTAGCACCCTTTTGCCCAGTCAGCCCCGGTTGCTGTCTACACGTGCATTGTGGCAGAGTAAATAACTGCCACAGGATGGTACTTGTGTTGCGCAGTACTATCCTATGGCAGAGTGAATTAGTTTACTCTGGCCTAATAGCACCAAATGTATGTGGCTGGAAAGAAGGGGGCCCTGAGTTCTAAATGGGGCCTTTACTCCTAGTGAGGTAGAAGCTTCTCCCTGTACTTCCTTCCAGCCTTTTTTTTTTCCAATGACTTTTTTCATGGCTCAGCTTCAGTTGGAGTACTGGTGAAGGCCCTAGAAAACAGCTATCCTGTGGCATGGTGGTTTGCAATATTGTACTGGGAAGTCAGAGACACACGGGTGCAAACTCTCTCTGGGCAAGTGGGGCCTTGGGCTCAGGACCTCTAGCTTCCCAGGCGAATGCCCTAGCCAATGAGCTGGGGCATGGGGGGAATGAACACACATGCAGTTTTTATCCGTTTCTGAGGCTGTTTGGTACTCAGGGGTTTTGCCTGACTCCGTTTTGAGGCATATAAGGTCACAATGCATCCATAAAGGGCACTTGTATGGGCTTCAGCTGATACTGCACATCCCCAGTCTGCATAACTACATAGTTATACATAGTTAGCCATGTGTGCAGAGCTGAGTATCCAGGAATAGAATACCAATCTGTGCATAGGTGGCATTTTTGGCACTTAGATGATCAAAAATGGCATGTAGACAAACCAAATCTGCTTGTGCTGTATATTTAGATCTATATCTACTTTGGTTAGTTTATAAGGTGCATATCCACCCTGCCTTCCACTTAAGAGAAGACCAGGAAGGAAACAGAATGCTACTGGTGGTGGCTGACTTTTGAAAAACAGACCCCTGAAGTTAGGCCCTTAAATCCATTCTGTGTCAATTTACTGATTTCCAAATGTGCTCAGTATTTATAAATCCTTTTCTGTGTCCAACTAAACTGGGATAAGAGATTCAGATTAGACAATGGAAGAACTCCTTTATGGTAATGGTTACCAGAATCTGGAATGGGCTTCCAAGAGAGGTGGTGCTCTCCCTTACCTTGGAGGGTTTAGGAGGAGACTGAACAAGAACCTGGCTGGGGTCATCTGGCCCCAGCACTC